GAAGTGATCGGAGAGCAGGGGAATCGAATCGGGAGCTAGATATCAGTATGAGAGCAGTCCTTCCCCCTCTCTCTCCTTAGTTTCTGTTCAGCGGCAGCAAGCCCAGCTTGGAAACATTTCAAGTGCCCTCATTTAATTTTGAAGCCTTTTGTTTTGCTTCAGAGTCGCTGTTTCAAGGTCGAAACGTATTGGAATGGCTTTGGAACGAAACCCAGTGCAATTTCGCACAGCCCTAGTTCTGGATTGTTTGGTGCGGGGGCGGGGGGTTGTGCATCGTTGTTGCTGGGGAGTTTCTGTTGTTACACTGTGGTGGTGATTTAAAAAAAAAAAAGAGGAAGGGGGGAAACATAGTGATGAGGGTTAGACTTTGGAGACAGTCCCTTGCAAGGAAACATCTTATCATCAGGTGAGGAATTTGAACACGGTCCCTGGAGGAGAGGAGCACTAAAGATGGAGGCAGCCACATGGTCTGTGCTGGAGGAGCCCTTCCTGTGCTCTTCTTAAAGGTCTGTTCTCTTCCTCGTTCCTCCTTGTCGGTATTTGCTGCGGGACCCAAATCGTTGCATGCGGGACCTGGAGGACAGCCCAGCTAGGCTTTTGCTATGGCCTTGATTCGCTCCCCAGCCGAGATGACATCTGCCTGCCCGTTTTGCTGCAGAAAAGTTCACTTCTGTTGCTGTGAGCCTGTGACTGCCCTGGGGACCTTTTTTTTTTTAGGTGCATTTAGCAATGATCTTTGCTGGTGACATCCTTCAGTTGTTCTGTGGGTGGAGCAAAGGCGGCGTGCTGAAAACCAGCGGACTGTGCCCCTGGCATATCCAGATGATCTCTAAAACAGTATCAGATGTTGCTGACTGCCTCCCAACCACTCGCCTTTCTTTATCTTGTATTAACTTTAACAATAATAGACAGACACCTTCCCTGAAGCAGTGTTTCTCAACCTTTTAAGTAGCAAGCACCCCTAACTTTTGCAAATGTTAATAAGCACCCCAACACTCAGTTTTCTGGGAATTTTATATTTACAGACTAACGTGTGCTATATGTTGGAAGAAGGGCTGTGTATATAAGGCCGTGATAGGACAGATGTCTGATCTGGCGTGGGTAGGGTTGCCACCTTTCACACCGGGGGTGCACCCCTCTAGTATGTACCTGGGCTAGAGGTGATGTTGCCCAAAGCTAGGAGGGCTGACTGCCAAGTTGTTACCAGGGAATTTTAATGTGCGGTGTGCCAAAATTTTTGCCATAGTTTTGGGAGGAAAAGAGGGTGAGAGAGACAGTGCTGGGGTACACGCATACCCTGTTTCTCAACCTCAGGTATGTGTACCCCTGCGGGTATGCCCTGAAGAATTTGATCCATATATTGTCCCACACCTCAACATGTGCAAATAGAAAGCCAAATAAATACCTTTTTATAAGCGGCAAGGTGCTCGGAGACTGTAATGGTCTCCCTTTGGGAATACTGAGGCCTCTCTGCTCGTGCCAAAGCCCTTTGGCTCCGTGGTTGTCCCGTACAGGCAACTCCAAGAGGTTTAAAACCCATCCTGGAGCGCACTCTTCTGTATCGTCTATGCTTCTCCTCTCAGCTGATTTTTTCCTCCCTTCCACCCTTCCTGTGTATAAAACAGCCCTCACTTTCCCTGCATTATAGTGTTTAAGAAAATAACCTTGTGACTTTTTTTTTTTTAATCAGTCTCACTTGTTTGGCGGGCGGGCTGGTTTGTCTTGGAGGCGGTATTAAAATGTATATGGACTCATAAAAATGTAGAATCGTGTCATGCGTCATGTGCATGGCCCTGAAAAAAGACCCGGGATCTGGCTGGGATTGGGGGGCACATCCTTTCTGGGTCTCCCCAAAATGCTCCCCTCCAGCCCCCCAGAGCCTCTCCAGAAGAAGCCTGGGCAGGTCCCGATGCTTGGTTTTTGGGTGGCAGCTGCCACCCACCCCTCAGTACCTGTCTGCTGAGTGCATTGTGCCAAATACCCGTCTTATTTTGGGCTAGGATTACAGGACATAACCCCCTTTGGGGCACCCTAAGCCACACAACTCTGCCATTGGGGGACTGTCCCTAAAAAGCCTGCTGGACCTGCCGCTGCCACCCTGACAGCGGAGAACCCCTGAAGCCTGTGTCATAAATAAGTTACTCCCAAGAAGGAGCTGGGTTTTGGAAGGGATTATCAGGCCAAATCCTTTTTGGGTTACCCCGAAGCGCACGTACGTCCCCACCTCCGGCAGGCTCTTGTTACCAAGCCTGGGCATTGCATTGTGCCACCCAAAGCTTGGCTCTCATTTACCCCGAACCCCAGCCAGAAACAGGGTGACGGGACTTTTCACTGGTGTGAACAGACCTGTGACAGGAACACCCTGAGCAAGGGGAAGGGGGGAGATGCAAAGATGTGATGGGAGAGGCCGAACCACAACCCACTTAGCCAGCCTGCAGCCTGCCCTGACGCGGGCAGTGGGGAGGGGGCTGGCTCCCCAACACCCTCCCTGGGGCCTGCATTGCCCTTGGCTCCATCAGTGTATGGGCCACTATGGCTCCTGCACTCTCCTCCCCGCCGCCCAGTGTCCCGTGCATCCTCCAAGATGTGGAGGGCTCAAGGGGGCTTTGTGCTGAGAGCGGTGCCCTGGCACGTTTTCCCCGCCACGGGTTGGGGTGGGAGGGGAGATGAAGCCATGTGGGTGCGAAGGGCTGGCAGGGCAGAGCTTTCTCCCCTGAGGATGCTGCGGTGGAGGGGAGTGGAGGCTGTGGGAGCACTTGAGGGACCATGGTGGAGGAGTCCTGTGGGGCCAGGTGTCTGGGGCAGGTGGGAGACATTGGAGGTGCTGCCAGGCCTGGCGGAGGCTGGGGGGTGGCGGGCAGCTGCGGTAGGGGCATTTCTGGAGCCAGCCCGGTCTCCGCACTGTGTCGGGCAGGTGGGGAAGCGAGGATGCCCCTGGGGGTGGGGGTGTCCAGGCTGGGACAGGGTCACGGTCCTGGTCTCCCATCACGTGGTGAAGTCTGTGCTGTCCCCTTTCCCCCAGGCGGCTTCGGAGACTGGAGGCTGTTGGCAGATCCGTGCATGAGCGCAGGGAGAGCCCAGCTGGGGGAGACGGTGGCTGTGCTGGAGCCCGTGGCAGATGTGGCCCTTCCCTTTGCAGCCCGAGGTGTAGCTGGAGGAGCCATACTCTGGAGGGCTCCAGGCAGGAGCTGAAGGGGCAAGACAAGTCCCTCGTGTTCTCCAGGGTGGGACCAGGGGTCCCTGAAGTGGTTGGAGGAGCCGGTCCAACGCCAGGAGACCGGGGGCAGGAAACGGTGCAGACGATGCAGCCCCCATCCGAGGCCGAGATGCCCTCGGACACCCCACAGCCGGCACCGGGGGATGACCTCCCCACCCCAGAGACCTGGCGTCAGCGCTTCCGGGGCCTCCGCTACCTGGAAGGCGAGGGGCCGCGGGAGGTTTGCGTGTGCCTGCGGGAGCTCTGCCGGCGCTGGCTGGAGCCGCGGCGCCGCAGCAAGGAGCAGATCCTGGAGCTGCTGGTGCTGGAGCAATTTCTGGCCATCCTGCCCCAGGAGATGCAGAGCTGGGAGTGGGGGTGCGGCGTGGAGACCTGCGCCGTGGCTGTGGCTGAGGGGTTTCAGCTGGGGAAGGGAACGGATGAGCTGCAGGTGAGAACATTTCATCCTGATCATGGATGCTGCTGTCCCTGTCTCCTTATGTGCTTGGGGGATGTTCCCTCCCAGCCCCGTCTCTCCTAGGTCCTGGCTCTCCAGTGACATTTTCTCATCCCCAGGTCACCGTGTGTGTGAAGGTCGAGGAGGTGATCTTGGACAGGATGCAACACATAGGGGCATTGCAAGAACCTGGTGATTCGTGGCTGGAGCAACCAAAGACCGATCGTGTGGACAGCCGTCTGGAGGAGTCAGGAGAGGGGGAAACCCCTGGGCCTTGCGACAAGCAACCTGGTGTCTCCGAAGAGGAGCTCCCACCCCACCAGGAGTCAGGTGAGGTACAGGATGCAGGCCTGGGTGTGGGTGCATGCAGGGGGAGTCTGCCTCTGCCCATGACGGGGCCCCAATATTCGTAACCAGGTGGCTGGGCTGGGACCCAGCTCTGATCTCTGTGGGTGGGCAGCTCCCTGATCTTTCTCACTGCATGTGTGCAGCTCCCGGCGGAGAGAGGCTGTGTCTTGCTTGGGCACCGTCATGCTGCTGTGGTAACAATCCATGATCTAATCGCTGTTCTAACGATCAGTGTTCAACTCGCCCCTCGCTCATGCCCCCGTGAGCCCTCTGTGCCCAATTAGGGGCTGGTGCAGGTGTTGGGGAAATGGGACTCCCCGGTGGCTTACGGCTGGCTCGTGTACAGCTAAACCAGGCCTCTATCCTGCAGATTCCCCCAAAACAGAGGAGACCTGGGAGTGGTCAGCAGGTGAAAGCTCATCAGGCCGGTGCCCCAGACGAGGCCCTTCCCCAGGTGCAGGTAAGGAGCGCTGGCTCTCCCCTTTCCAGGAACAGGAGGCACCGTCCCTCAGTGGAGAAAACTCTCAGCCACAACATTTGATGGGGTCGGTGCTCCAACAGATCAGCTGCGCTTGTTCTCCGGTGCCTTTTGGAAGCATTTCATGTGCCCTAGAGAAGACTGACCTTATGTTTCCCCTCCCACTCCCTTAACATATGGAGGCTGACACAACCCCAACATCCCTTGAGCTTCTTTCCCAGGGAGCGATGTCCCTGCAGGCTCTGACGTGGTGTGATCACCACCTGTGTTGGTACAGAGTTATTGAAGTTCATCTCCAGCCTAATGCCCAAGGAGGTCTGTTAGCAAGAGCTGTGCAGCTTTAAGTCGTCCTTCCCCCCACCTCTTCCACCCACTGAAGCCTCCATCTGCCTTAATCCCAAGCTGGTCCAGGAGACGAGCAGGGCTTTCCCTGTGCCAGTGGCGCCAGGACTGACCTGTGCACTCTCTTTCCCCCCCCCCCCCCCCCCGGGGGCTGAACCCCCCACAAAACCCCCA